ATATATATATATATATATATATATATATATGGTGTTCGGCTTGGTTCGGGTATTTTCCCACGTCATTGTAGTTGTGCTTTTAAAGTTGTAGCAACGTTTCGGCAGGATCTCATCTGCCATCATCAGGCTTCTGCATAGTGTTCGTACAAAGCTGAATACTATCTATCTATCTATCTATCTATCTATCTATCTATCTATCTATCTATCTATCTATCTATCTATATATATGCTGTATATTGTATAAGGTCTATGAATAAGTGATTATCATGCTGTGTATTTTTAAGGGGTTGTTAAGTTTGTATGTTGTTACTTGAGAATAAATACTTGAGAATAAAATATTATTATATATTTGTATCTGTATTGAAGAAAGTCAGGAGTCAAATTTCTTTTCTGCTGTTGCTGTCGTTCACTTTCTAACTTTTTCCCCTTTTGATGCTCTCCCTTTTTAAAAAATCCTTTTTATCTTTGTTATTTTGTATTTTATCTTTCTTTGAAACTATAAAGTTAGCTAACAAATAAAAATAATCAAAAAGGAGCTAGAACAATGTAATAGCAGAAATGCTGGAGACAGGATAACTTCCTGTTTATTTAATTCCCCCTCAGCAATGAATCTCATTGGGTTCTGAGCCCTGAGATGAGGAACATTGTCTCAAGGACCAGGTGCATCTGGGAATCTCACCAGCAATTGAACAGACCATCACCTAAACTGGATGTCATTGCACATATACACACTTTTTTTTTGGAAGCTACATCTCTAAATTACAGTAAGCAGTTTCACTAGATGTACTATCCAGGGAGTGGAGGAAATGAGAGATGATCCTCAAGATATATCAAACTAGAACTGTCAGAGTAGCATCTCTTGGGTGGGTAGGGGAGGAAAAAATTTAAAAATCAAGACAGAAGTCATGCTCTACAGTTGAAGCCCTGCTTCTTTTATGTCTTTCATGATCCATGCTAAAAGAGGTGGGGATATGATAGTTCAGCAACAGTTGCCATCTCGATATTTTTATCCTTCTGTGGATGGTCAATGATAAGAAACAATGGGAGTTCTAGTTTAATAACATCTGAAGGGCCACTGATTGCCTATTTCTGGACTATACACTTATGTTTTCAACTTTTTGGAAATATCTCTTGCATGTCAATTTAGTTTTTTGTTTTTTTTTTGAAGTATCTGGTAGTAAAAAATAAATTTTGCTAAATAAAATATCAAATGGAGTAGAAATGGTTTGATTGAAAGAGAGGCAGTAGCAATAGCAATAGCAGTTAGACCTATATACCGCTTTACAGCCCTCTGTAAGCGGTTTACAGAGTCAGCATATTGCCCCCAACAATCTGGGTCATTTTACCCACCTTGGAAGGATAGAAGGTTGAGTCAACTTTGAGCCTGGTAAGATTCGATCTGCCAAATTGCAGGCAGCTGGCAGTCAGCAGAAGTAGCCTGCAGTACTGCACTCTAACCACTGTGCCACTGCAGCTCATTAGTAACATCAGAAGGGGAAGGTTTCTTCCTGACACCAGCCTTCTCCCACCTTGAAAATGCCTTCCTCCTCATGTTCTTTTGCATATCAATTTGGAAGCATTTAAAAAAATAGAAGTGAATTTGGTCTTTTCATCTAATGGAGGCCATTATATAATGAGTGATCCTGCTTCCCTTGTTAATATGAATAAAGAGCATGCTGTTCTTTCTCCAGCTTTCTTCCCCGCCATAATCTAAATACTTAGGCACAATCAGCCTTTGCTTCAAACTCAGCTGATTACTAATTACATGCACAAGCTTGCAACCCCAAATTTCCTTTCCCAACACGTTCCTTTTTAAGGCATTGATATATTTTCAACACTCTCATGGAATGGTTTGAAGAAGGGCTTCTTACCAGGTATGAGTTGTAAAGTCCTATCGCTATTTGTAAAGCCACCCGCACAAGGTTCAAACTGTGAGAAAGCAGCAGGCATCTTTTCCAAAGTCACAATATTTTCCACAATAGAAAGTAACCTATACAAATGAAAATGTATACATCTCTTTAGAAGCATTCTAAGAATATCTAGCTAACAAGACCTACAATTTCCTAGAGCAGGCCTGTACAAGTGGTGAGTCATCAGTCCAAACACTGCTTAATTAGCCATTTATAGCCACTCACTAGTAAATAGCATTCCATTTATTGCATGATGTTGGCACTCTTAAGAAGAGCACGTGGCAGAGCAGGAAAGAACTATCCAGCCCAGCAACAAAGGAGACATGAGATCTCAAAGAAGCCTTGAGACTTAATGCATGTCACATGCAAAAGCAAACTAGATCTGTACTAATCATGGTTTAGTGTTTTTTAAAAGATATACAGTATTTCCCCTTTAAAACAGTGTTTCTCAATCTTAGCAACTTTAAGATGTATGAACTTCAATTTTCAGAATTTCCAAGCAAGCATGCAGATGTGATAGGATTTTTAAACCATATTTTTAACCAACGAATAATGGCCTAGTTCACATAACATACCATATGGCTTAGGATAATGTATGTACCAAATGCCTTACTTACTCAAATATTCATTATTATTCGTAATACAGTTGAGATCTTGATCTACAGGCCACAAAGGTAAAAGTTTTCCCCATCCAGTCGAGCCTGACTCTAGGGCAGGGGTCTTCAATCTTGTCAGCTTAAAGGCTTGTGGACTCCCAGAATTCTTCCTCCAATCATGTTAGTTCAGGAATTCTGGGAGTTGAAGTCCCCAAGTCTTAAACTTGTCAGGTTTAAAGACCCTTGCTCTAGGGGATGGTGCTCATATCCATTTCTTAGTTGAGGAAGCTAGTGTTGAGACTTTGGTGGTCATGCAGCCAGCATGATTGTATGCTAAGGTTCATGGGACACTATTACCTTCCACCAAAGTGGGTACCTATTTATCTATTTGATTTTGCATGGTTTTGAACTGCTAGGTTGGCAGGAGCTGGGGAAACTAAATGGTAGGTCACTTGGTCATGTGGTGTTCAGCTTTTGAAACCAGGCTGTCAGCTTTCTTTGATAAGCTCAGCTTCTTTGGCCATTGAGCCATCGCACAACAGAGACCACCATCCATAATTTGTCAGAAGTTGCTGGTTTGTCTAACAAATGATTGTGGCTTTACACAATATATTTCAACCAATACCTAAAACAATTCTGAGTACACTTTTGAAAAGAATGGGTCAGATTATATTTAGAATACCTTAAGCAATCACTTCTCTCCTTATTCCCATCAATGTTCCTATGTTCCTATAATGCACTACGTCTAAATTATGGATGATTGATTTTAATACATCCAACTTGGCTACTTCAGTAATTAAATTTAAGTAAACCACAGTTAACTTGTTATGCAAATATAGTTATATTATCTGGAGAATTCTGGGAGTTGAAGTCCAAGTCTTAGACATTTTCAGGTATCAAAAGAGGACATGGAATATTTACCTCCCCATTGCTGTATTTTTTACCTACAACCTTCACCTCTTTCCACAGCTACTCACCCAACCCAGCTACAGGCAGGAAAATCACAGGTGAATGGCAGAAATATAGAACAGCTATATATTCCCAAAATCTTATTTGATAGGGAGGGACTATTGATCAGACCTAACTGTCCAGCTATGCAGCATAAAGATGTTAAGCAGTGGTGGGATTCAGGGTGGGATTCTACCAATTCGCACCTATTCGCTAGGTTGTTAACATTCTAAGCAGTTTGGAGAACTGGTTGTTAGAAGAAATTACTGGCCTAATCCTGTAAGGAAGGCAGGAAGAAAACATTCTGATGTTGCTTACAGAAACTGCCTCTCCCTTATTACATTCTTGGCAAGACTAGACTTCCTGTCTCAGGAACGTCTCTGGAGTTTTTTTCTCCTCCTTTGCTGGTACTTTGCTTGTGTGGAGTGACCATTCAAAGTTACAATGGCACTGAAAAAAGTGACATGACCGTTTTTCACGCTTACAACTGTTGCAGCATCCCCACAGTCATGAGAGGCCAGGAGAGGAGATGCGTGCCTCGATGTGAGTGATATTGAGTTGGCCACGCCCAGCTAATAACATGACCACCAAGCCATGCCCACCCAGTCACATGACCACTAAGCCACACTCACCAACTAAGCCACACCCACAGAACCGGTTGTTAAAAAAATTGAATCCCACCCCTGGTGGTATTCTACCAGTTTGGCCTAGTTCAGGCAAACTGGTAGTACAAAATGTTACCATTTGGCCAAACAGGTAGTAAGAAAACAGCTACTGGTTCAGCCGAACCAGTATTTCTTTTCTTTTTTTCCTCCTGACCATCAGCTGTTCCGATGATCAGCTGTGCCGGGATACCTCTCGCTGTCTTACTGCTTCACCCAGGAGGCTTCCCTGAGGTCCAGGAGGCAAAAATAAATAAATAACAGTGCACGGGGGAGGGTGTGTTGCAAAAAAAAGAAAGCTACACCCACCCAGTCACATGGACACAGCCACCTAGCCACACCCACAGAACCGGTAGTAAAAATATTTGCATCTGACCCCTGATGTTAAGATCATAATGAAAAGTACAAGACTGGAAGAATAAAAACTATCCTTTGAAATATTTGTAAATATAACAAAAAATAGGTTGAGCAAGGAGGAAATTTAACCGATGCCATAGTTGCCATAAAAAGGAGCTAACAGCATGGAGCTCATATCAAAAAAGAAGGCAGAAACAAAAGCAAATAGAATTGGAAGCTATTAACTCTTATTTACAGAGAGAAAAAAGGAAAACATTTTTAACTCTAAGACAAGTATCAGACAGCCTGTTTATGCAAAAAGGTGGTATGTCATCATTTAAAAGCAAAGAATTATTCCTGAAATAGGTCAACCGTAAACACTAAAGGATTTGTATTTTATGTAGACAAGTAAAGGCTAAAGAGGAAAGTTGCAGTGAAGATTTTACACAAACATACACATACACATAGGGGATATATCTTTGCCATCAGGCCTTTATTCTGAATACAGACGGTTGTTATCCTATTAATTACAAAGTCAGGTGACATTATTGTAAATGGATGGGAATATAAGTATCAGTCTGGCCTTTATTTCAGACAATAAGTTGTGAGAGAACGCCAGTGCTGCACATTTGGTCCTTTTAAGCCATAATGCTGAGGAAGTCTGGGAGTTAAAGTCCACACATCTTAAAGTTCCCAACGTTGAGAAACACTGGCTTAACTTCTATTGGGTCTTGAAGATGTTCTGAACTAGGACTTAATTTGGGTAATGAGGAATTCATAACTGAAGGTAGATCATATAGCTTATTGCAGGTATCCCCAAATCATTTTAGGCTGATGAGCACATCTGGAATTTTGAGAGCATACAGCACTATGCATATTCTCACATAGTGGCTGCCATAGGGAGTGAAGTCAATTACAAACATCAATTTCCTAAAAAGCCAATTGCTCCCATTATGAATTCTGGTCTCCCAAAATGTTCTCTGGTATCTCTATTTTTTTTCTTTTTTTTCTGGGCCAGTGGGCATATTTCAGAATAAAATCAGGCATAATACACTAAGGAGTCTTCCTTATCTCAATGGAATGTAACTCTGAACACAAAGCAATGCTATTTGTGAGTAGATAAAATTTTCTACAATCTCAGATGATTACACTCCATTGGCTGGATATACCTTTTGATTCTCATACAAAGCCTCTCCTTTGTAGCTGTTACTACGCTGACTGAATTCACACATGCTCCTCAATACAATTTGTTTCAATCATAGCTTGTCAAACCAGCTGTAGCAATATGGATCACAATTAATATTAAAATGCAAAGGAAAATTTATATATCCTAATTCTTATGTTACTACATAATATATAAAAAACAAACAAACAAACAAAAACTCCAGACCATACCATGTTTTAGAACAAAATGGGAAACAATGCTGAGGAATCTATAATAAAAACTTTGAAGTGCAAAAGGATACTTGCTGTCTATTAAATATGGACAGATTACTCCAAAACCTGCCTCCTTTAGTATCTATGTTAATTAAAAAAAGTGTTTCTGTATTTATCCACATATTTTTAAAAAATTACAAGCAATTTCATAATGCAATATCTTCTGACATAAGGAGAATGTATTCCCCTGATTTATGTCATTTTTAATGTAAGTTGGCCAAGACCTTACATGCTCAGTGTTAAGGGTTCTTTGCCATTTAAATCTTTTTGATGCTCTCTTTTCAAATGCAAATTTCACTATTTTAAAACTCCTTTTTAACAACACATTGCTTGATGGTTGCATGCAATATTCAGTATGATACCTCTTTTTTCCAGAAACCTTTTATAGGAGAAAGATGAATACTAATAGAGTTTGTTGAACTATGAAATCTACTGTGAGCAGAACATCTGGATTCATTTCCAACAAAATCCATGGAACAATTATTTTAAATGTCTATCGGTGAGGGATTTTTTCTATCTCACTCCTCCCCCCTTCCCACCACCCAATCTGAATTGTTGAAGTTTTTTTTCTTTTAACTTCTTTTAAATTTCAAAAAACTGCAAGATTTCTTGGCTGAAAAGCAGCAACAGATCCAAAGAATTCACAACTCTAGGAGGAATAATTTTGGCATTTTTAGATCACCTTTCAGTTTTCTAGAAAACATATGGGTTCCCAGATCTTTTGGAAAGCCCTATAAAATAGTCCTTTGATTAAAATTGATCGTTGGGAGAGTCCTTGTGAAACTATCCTGAAGCAATATATTTGTCAGCGTTTCAACCAAACTCTCCATCTCAATTCAGCACTCAGAGACAAAGTCCATCCAAGTAAGAATTTATTACAGGAGTCATATTGGCACATCTGGGAAAACTCAAATCTGAGTTCCCACGTTTTCCCTTGCTAAATTAGACTCACACCCAGCCCTCTTTTCTGATGACCCTCAAGTCACACTCTCCAATCCACCTCCATTCTGAACTCCCACCAAGTCTAGTCACTCTCCTCTAAACTCCAGCGACTCGGCCTTGAGCGCTGGAGAAAGAATGTTGTTGTAGCTATCCTCCCTTCTCACTTTACTTTCATTCCCAAGGTACCCATCCTCCCTTGTGGCAGCCCCAAATCCGATTCAAGATGGATGGGGGGCTGACAATATTACTAACACCTAATTCTTCTGATACAGGAATCAGAAATAACAGGACAAATTCATACTTAATTGGAGTTAGTTTTCACTGGTCAAAATTTAATTATTTTACCAAACTAGCATTCAGGATCATTTTCATTAACATTTCATCTAATACAGTAATTAAATCAACAAAACCTAAATACTCATGAATATGGACATTTTACAGAATGCAACTGGAATTTTAAAATAGATTTTATATAACCGCAATAAATGCCCACTTTGAACTGCTCTGCAGATGCTATTGAAAAAGGGAATGGGATTGTATCATGCCTTACTTATTAGTATTTAAAATATGAGTTATAAAATTCATGCAGAATATTTCCAATTCTTGACTATCACTGCCAAGCACACCAATTTTGTTTTGTTTCATCGAGACATTTCTAAAATGAGATATTTATACTGGCAACATGCCTCCAACAGACCTTGACAGGATTAAAGTATTAAAACATGTTCATCCTAATTCTCTCCACAATGCATCAAAGCTACATTTCAAATACCTTTTATTTATTTCTTCAGATGACTAAAAGGGGGAAGAAAGGGAATTAATTGATTCATGTTATTCAACATACTGAATATAAAACACGCAAGATTTTGTTTACTGACATGCTCCACATGTATCAGAGCAGGATTTCCATTTTTTAAAGAAATTTTGTATATTTGTACCAAACCCTGACCTCTAAATGTGCAAAACTGAAGGAGAAACAGTATCCTAGTAATTCATACAGGGACCTGAATTAAATCATCACTACTAGCAGCAGTTGAGCCTTGGCAAGCTTATGTTAGAGTATTCTATATTAAGAAGATTCCACCCACACATCCTTCAGCCTTTTATTTTATTTTACTTTTAATTATACACATTACAAGATCTAGATGTTTCCAAACTGATGACGTCCAACTACGTTGGTGGCTGGAAAAACTGGAGGTGTTTTCTTTTTAGATTTTTATCCCACTTTATTATTTTTATAAATAACTCAAACGGTAAACATTCACTTCACAATCCTGTGCAGTGAGTTGGGCTGAAAGAGTGTGATTGGCCTAAAGTCACCTGGTGGCTTTAAAACTCAGACTCCTGGTTTCTAGAGTGGTGCCTTAACTGCTAGCCCATACTGCACTTTTGTTTTAATTTAGTTTAAGGGTCTTTTGCTTGGTTTTCTGTTGTAGCTAAATGCCAAATTGGAGAAAACAGATCCTTCTTTGTCTGCAAAACAAGCTTGCTGCTTGAATGGCAACAATGAATAGAAAAATAATTTGAGGTCATTGGTGATTGTCTGAATTTTTGCAGCCTGATAAATGGAATGGAGTTGAATGGAATGGAATGGAATGGAATGGAATAGAATAGAATAGAATAGAATAGAATAGAACAGAATAGAATAGAATAGAATAGAATAGAATAGAACAGCTTTATTTGGACAAGTGTGATTAGACACACAGACCATTTGTCTCCTGTGTAGAAGCTCTCAGTGTACATACAAAACAACAAAGTAATAATAAACATAATAATGATACCAATAAGAGAAAGTAGTTAAAAACATGAGAAGCATAATAGCAATACAGCTATACTATACGGGTAAATATACTTAGACATAAGACAGTGCTGTGGGAATTAAGTGTTCAGCAGAGTGATGACGCACTCTACTTGTTTTGGCACGTAATGCCCTGTAGCAGTGTCCTAAGGTAAGGATATGAAACAGTTTATGTTCAGGATGTGAAGAGTCTATAGATATTTTCTCAAGTCCTCTTTCTAACCCGTTGCAATACAGAGATCCTCAATGGAAGGCAGACTGGTTGCAATGTTTTTTCTGCACTCCTATCTGTTGAAGTATGTACCCATCCTATTTGGTTGCTATACCAAACCAGACAATTATAGAAATACAAATGACAGACTCAATAATTCCTCTGTAGAATTGCATCAACGGTTCCTAGAGCAGTCTGAACGTTCTGAGTTGATGCAGGAGAACACACTTTGTCATGCCTTTTTTTTAATGATGGTTCTGATGTGAGGTGTCCTTTACAAATCCTGGGAGATTATAGAACCTACAAACTTGAAGGACTCTACTGTTGATATTGTGTTGTCTAATATAGTAAGTGGTGGTAGAATAGGAGAACTCTTAAAATCCACTCTCATCTCTACAGTTTTAAACGTGTTCAGCTCCAGATTATTCTGGCTGCACTGAAGAGCCAGTTGTTCAATCTCCCCTAACTTGATGTATATCAAGTTACAGTAAAATAAAAATAGGGACTTCCAGTCTCCCTCAGTACTTTGAAAGTGTCTGTCCTTAATGGATTTGGAGATTAAGCCCAGGATAGTCCCACCAGTGCCTTTAGGAAGTATGCAAGTACAACATAAAATAAACTCAGGAAAATACTATAGAGATGGAGACTATGTTACAAGCTTTCCTCAATTTGATGTATCTGGCAAGGAAATTTAGGTGTTGTTGCTCCTACACAAACTATCTCATGGCAAAAATCCTATGAATTTTACTTCAAAATTAAGCATCAATGACTTCAGTGGATCTAATTCCTCAGTTAATGTATAGGATTGAAGCCTCTAAAGTTTATCCCAATCATGAGCCTGCTGATAAATAATAGCCAATCTGCTTCCATGAAGAGCTATGTAGCAAAGAATATCAATCATAGACTTATTTTTCCTATGATCCCAAACTTGGCTAACATAATATATCTTTGCACTACTTACCTTTAGGAAAGCAAAATCATCAATTTCCTCAGTTTTCTTTATTATCATTTCTAGTGTCTCCTTTGCTGTATCAATATAGTCTTGAAAATTAACCATCTGGTCATAAAGATATTCCATTTTTGTGTTCCTTGCTTTGTCAAAATTCTGTGACTTTCTTTCGTGGTGACCAAATACCATCTTTACCACGTTTTCATTTTGCTCTTCTAATAACTTCTCCTTTTCCTTACAGTTGTCCTAGGAACAGAGGTCAGAAGAAAATGTAATATTCCAGCACGAAACATTAAATTAAATTTCCTTGTAAATGTTTCTCTTTTAGAAGGTGAGACTTCTAAGCTAATTTTCCAGGTAAAATTCTTCAAAATAATACACCACTACTGAGCATATTCAACCAAAGCAAGCCTTCACAATGTAACTTGGGCATTTGGCTCAATGGGTTCTTATATTCAAGAAGACCATTATATTGCATCTTATGAGGGGAGACTTCCTAGATGTGGTCAAAAAAGTAAGATACCCTCCATAATGGTGTAATCAAAGCTATGTTTTGTTTTTATGTATGTTATACTAAAAAACAGGCTGTGCTCTGATCACAGTATCCCAGCTACCATCTTATCTTTTATGGCCATGTGTGTTTTTTTTATAACCATAACCTGTGGACTCACTTGTATCTTGCACTTCCATATAATAGAAGTTATGGTTTTCTTCTACTTGAAACTTTTAAGGCATTTGAAGAAGGGCTTCACACTATGTCTAAAAGATTTATTGGAAAAAAGACTGATGCAGAACAACGTTTATCTGATAAGACAGAGTTGATATCAAAAGTAAATTTACAATTGGCAGGCCAAAAATTACTTGGAAAAAGATGCTTCACCAGAGCTACAAAATAAATTGGCCGATGTTTTAAAATTCAAAGGGAAAATACAAATAATTAACCAAGACAATTTTTTCCTATTGGATTTACAAAAAGAGTTTATTAAAGCCTTGAAGAACTCTGTACAATGGGACAAAGAAGAAAAATCAAATCTTATGATAATATTTAAATGATCTAAAGACAAAAAGGAAAAGGAAGGAATATAAAATTGGTTTAATTAATCAAGTTAAAACAAAATTTGTTATTACACCTTGAGATAATTGTTTGTAATCTTAGAGGAGACATGGTGTCACAAAACCTGTTTACACTAAAATTTTAAGTTTAGTTTGTATTAGTTTTTATTAATAAAATCAAAATTCTTAACAGAAATATATATCCAATGAAGAACAGCTTTTCATATATGGCTAAACAACATATCATTGCCAAATATATGATTACAATAGTATTAAAACCTAATAAATAGCTATGGAAATCACAATGCCTCAGTTCTCACAACAGACTAAAAACCCAAATCAAACATCCTACATTATAACTTAATATGTTATATGAATTCAGGAAAGATAACCCTAATTTCTTCCCATAGCTCACTGTCAATTTTTTTCTGAAGGCTAAAAATACAGTAATCCAATTCTCTCTCTCTTCATAAGATATTTATTCATTTCCAGTGTTCTGAACTCATTGTTCTGAACTCATCCCAAATAATCTGAATCCTTTTTACATTATGTATAAAACATGCACTATGTTCAACCAACAAAGAAGAGGCATTGCCCAATATGTGAGTTAAGTAACAAAATTTTGGCTAGTTCATACCACAAATAAACAAGCCATAAGATGACTTCAAGGGCTGTGTGAGCTCTGCATTGTGAGACATGGTAAAAGCCAGCCCTGACTAGCAGAGTGACTAAGCAATCTAGTGAGTTCTGTCTTAACTAAAATGATGGCACCCATTCAGCAGGTTCCTTGCCCAACCTACCTCTAGAGTGTTAAACAAAGCCTCTATTTCACTGACACATCCTTCAATTTTCAAAGATCTTTGTTGCAAAACATCTAGGAATCCATTCAACTGGCCCTGAAAGAGATTGTATATATACATATAATTATAATTAAAATCATAATTGCCTTAAAAAGGTCAGTTTATAATGTTCTCATGCATAGAATTAGATGCTAAAAATTTTTTAAGTTTTCATGAAAAGGTTTCTCAAAAGCCATCATTACATCACTGATACATAACAAGAGACAGGCTCACTGGCAGTCCTGAAATCCTCACCTTGGAATTGAGGTCTGAATGAAATATGCTATTTCATGCCATTGACCTACATACTTGTTCCTAAGAAGTAGGACTTTTTGTTTCCAATGGATTTACTATTGGATGGGATATTTCTTTCAGTCTTGTTCAATAGCATTTTTAAAAGTACGAGTCAAAATACAAAATCAAGGTATTTAAGCAAATTGCTATGAAGAATCTGTTTGGCAATAAGCTCCATTAAAATAGAAATAAAATGTGTGCTTTTGTGTCCCTTCCTTCCTTCCTTCCTTCCTTCCTTCCTTCCTTCCTTCCTTCCTTCCTTCCTTCCTTCCTTCCTTCCTTCCTTCCTTCCTTCCTTCCTTCCAAGCTTTTGTCTATTTAAGCCTGTTTTTTCCCATTTGTGTCTCCAAATAGTAGCGCTGCTTCTCTTTCAAAAAAATTATTAATTTTAAATTAATGCCTCAGAAAGCCCCCAGTTTTGTAATGGTACATTTAATTATAAAGAACCAATGAAGTAGGAAATGTATGTATCAAAGCCCAAGGGCCAAATCCTTCAAACCCATACAATATTTGACTTCGAACAATTGCCCAAGGTCTGTCAGGCAGCCAATTTTTAAATGCACCAGAGATTGATCTGGGCTGTTTTGACAGTTTGTGGATCTATTTGGACATTTAGGAAGCTCTGAGCACAGAATGTTTACAAGTTTACAAGGCTGTAGACTTCACAATGAACCAACAGCCATTAGCCGAGTACAAGGCATTGTCAAACCACCAGTGCTCGTCAGCCAGTAAATGATCAGATCTTCCCCCTCAGTTCTGGGTTTAAATGAAAATCCTTTGCCCTCTTCACAAAATTAAATGGAAATAAACAGCTAATATATCTCTTGTTTCGAAGTGCACTGTTTTGATAAACTTCTTTTTTTTTTTTTATAAAAGTTTTATTGATTTTAACAACAAATAAAAACACATAAAACATAAAACATAACATAAGAACATCATCATTCTTCATAAATTTACAGACAGTGTATCGGTTGGTTTATCATTCCTTTTTGTGCATCTATTTCATAGTCATCATAATAATTATGTTACGTAATAACTCATATTATCAATCAACAATTATATATCCTAATATCCTTATTAAACAATCATTTGACTATAATTTAACTAATTCATGCTTAAGCGAGATAACTATAATTTAGTTAATTTATAACAAATCGTAAAATCATACCAAATCTATCTTAATATAATATTCTAAAAATATTATCAAAACCAATATATATATATATATTCTATTATTATATTGTTTTATCTAACCATTGATAAAAAAGATCCCAAACTTCATAGAATTGTTTATCTTCTTGTTCTCTAATTTCAAATGTCAATCTACTCATTTCAGCACATTCCAGTATTTTCTTAATAATTTCTTCCTCTAATGGTATTTTCTCACTCTTCCAATTTCTAGCAAATACAATCCTAGCCGCTGTTAACACATTTACAATCAAATACTTTAAGTTTTTATTAAATGTATCAGGTAAGATTCCCAATAGAAAAATCTCTGGTTTCAAATCTATATGTTTTTTTGTCATTTCTTCCAACCATATGCGAATTCTAGTCCAGTATTTCCTGGCCTCCTCACAAGTCCACCACATATGGTAATATGAGCCAGGGATCTGATGACATTTCCAACACTTTTCGGATTTATTCTTGAACATTCTTGCTATTCTTGTCGGGGGAAAATGCCACCTGTAAAACATCTTATACAAATTTTCTTTATATGCTACTGACATTGTCATTTTATAATTTTGAGACCACAATTTTTGCCATTTTTCTAAATCAATCCCATATCCAAAGTTCTTCCCCCAAACAATCATTGTTTCTTTGACTTGTTCTTCCTCTAATTTAATTTCCAACGAATAACTATATAGTTTTTTAATCACTTTTTCATCAGCACCTGTCAAAATCCCATCTAAATCAGTCAATTTATCATAAAATCCTTCTGTTTTAGAATCTTTAAGATACCTTGAGTGTATTTGCGCATATGAAAACCAATTCATCTTTATATCTTGTTCTTCTAGCTTTTGCATCGTTTTAAGTTCACCCTTTTCATCCAGTATTTCCCCATATCTAACTGTTTGTTCCTTCTTATAAATTATGGGATAGGAAAAAGCTTCAATAGTTGATAACCAAACTGGAATTTTCAAATAACATTGTTTCTTAATTTTCTCCCAATTCAACCATAACGATTCCCGTATATAGTGCCTTCTGAAATAACCCTGCGATTTAGTTCCCTTATACCATAAAAAAGCATGCCAACCCAATAATAAATCATGTCCTTCCAATGCCAGTAATCTAGACTTTCTTAACGTTATCCATTCTTTAACCCACATTAAATTTGCAGCTTGATAATACAACTCCCAATTAGGAAGGCCAAATCCTCCTCTAATTCTAGCATCCTGTAAAAGTTTTAGTTTTATTCTCGCTTTCTTACCTTGCCATATATACTTCAACACCATTTTATTTAATTCATCAAAATAGTCTTTACCAAGCCTAATTGGTATTGTTTGAAACAAATATAAAATTCTGGGTAAAATATTCATTTTAATTGTTGAGATTCTACCTATCAAAGATAATTGTAGATTTTCCCATTTTTTCAAGTCAGATGCTATCTGCTGTTTAAGTTTAATATAATTATTCTCTTTCAGTGTAGTACATCTTGACGTCAAAATTATCCCCAAGTATTTAACTTTATTCGTAACTTGAATTTTCAATAAGTCTGCCAACTCTTCTCTTTGCCTTAATAACATATTTTTTGTCAGAATCTTTGTTTTGTCTTTATTTATTTTCAAGCCAGCCATCTCACCATACGTCTCTATCTTTTCCAGTAGTTTTAAAGCTGTCTCTAGAGGGTCTTCCAGAATAAAGACCAAATCGTCCGCAAAGGCTTGCAATTTAAATTCCTCCTTTTTAACTTTCATTCCTTTTATATTTGTATCCTCTCTAATATTTCTATTTAATACTTCCAAAGTCAATACAAATAACAAAGGGGATAGTGGACATCCTTGTCTTGTGCCTTTTTTAATATTGATAGAGTCTGTAAATTCTCCATCTATCATCACTTTTGCTGTTTGCTTATAATATATAGCTTCTATTGCTTGAATAAATTTTCTAGCAAAACCCATCTGTTCCAATAATAATAACATAAATCTCCAATTCACGTTATCAAATGCCTTTTGAGCATCTAAAAATATCAAAGCCATTTGCTTTTCAGGGTGTGCCTCATAATATTCCAAAGTGTCCAAAATTACTCTCATGTTGTCTTTAATTTGTCTCTGGTAGAAATCCATTCTGATCAGAATGAATAAAATTATTTAAGTATTTTTTAAGCCTTTCTGCCAAAATTGAAGCAAATATTTTATAATCTGCATTCAATAAAGAAATAGGTCTATAATTCTTAATTTGTGATGGGTCAGTCCCTTCTTTTGGAATAAGCGTAATATAAGCTTCTGACCATGTTTTAGGTATTTTCTTATTTATCATAACTTCATTCATAATTTCTAACATTGAAATGCTCAATGATTCTTGTAATGTTTTATAAAATTCTGCCGGGAAACCATCTGGTCCTGGTGCTTTCCCGTTATTCTGTCTATTAAGTGCTTCAGTTAATTCCATCATTGTTATAGGGTTTTCCAACATTTTCCCAGTTTCATCAGATATCTTGGGTAGGTTGGCATTTTGTAAATACTGTTTAATTTTCCCCTCATCAAAATCCTCCTGCTTATATAATTGCGCATAAAAATCTCGAATAATTCTCTTTTTCTCCTTATTACCATGACAGACTAGACCCTGTTCATCCATTAACTGTGGTATTCTCCTTGATTCTTTCTCTTTTCTCAGTTTGTATGCTAACCATCTACCTGGCCTGTTTGCATCCTCAAAATAGTTCTGTTTAGCACTTCTAATTTTTTGCGCCAATTCTTCTTTCTCTGTTTGATCCATTTTATGTTTAATTATATCCATTTTAAATTTAATATCTTTTTTCTGTGGCATTCTCTGTAATTCTTTTTCCAATTTTTTATAATCATCTTCTAAAGTTTTAATCATTTGCCTCTTTCTAATATTTTTTTTCTTTGTGTATTCCATTATCAATCCTCTTGCATATGCCTTCATTGTGTCCCAAACATTCTGTATTGAAGTATCTTCTTTTCTGTTTTCATTAAAAAAGAAGGCCAGTTCTTTTTCCATCCACTGTGTAAAATCTTTTTCCTTTAAAATAGTATTATTTAATGTCCATCTAGATCTTCTTTTTTGTCCTTTCCATTTAATTGTCATTGGGTTATGATCTGCCCATGTACTTGTTTCAATATTTATTTCTTGAATATTAGATAATAATTCTGTTGACGTCCACATCATATCTATTCTGGACCATGATGAATGTCTATTCGAGTAGAAAGTATATTGTTGAGTTTTAGTATTTCTTTCTCTCCATATATCTTTTAGATTTAGTTCCTCTATCATTTCAAAAAAGGATTTAGGGAGGATCTTCCTATTTTGTCGTGTTATTTTTGCTGTGTAGTCCAATTCATTGTCTACAATTCCATTAAAATCTCCCATTATAAATATATTAGCGTAGTCCAATTCAATTATTTTCATATGTAATTTTTTATAGAATCTTTTTTGTTTATCATTCGGAGCATAGATTGCAACCAAAAGTATCTTTGTATTGTTATCCACTATTTCAACCATTAGTACTCTTCCATCTTCATCAGTATAAATCAATTTTGCTGAAATGGTTTCTTTAATATACAATACCACTCCTCTTTTCT